AGGGGTTCCTCAGAAGAGATTGGAGAGCAATTTGTCTGAAATGATGTTGAGTCTCCTGAGTTGTGAGTAAAAGACTTCCAAGATCCCTTCCAACTCTGATTCTATAATTCTGTAACTTTCCATTGAGGAGTTGACATCCCTTTTCTTAATGTCTTTTGAGATTTTTTTCATCTCCCTTATTTTCACAACAAATGTTTGGCAAGTCAGGGGACCTCATATCACTGCCTTGTCAAACAATGATGGTAAATATAAAGAAAGAAGGCACGGCTAACAACTTAACATGGTTTTTCTAGAATTTGGCTCTTCATTGCCCTGCATTCATTCCACTTTGAGTGTTACCACCCCCAGCCCTCAACAAGCTGGACGTAGCTGAAGCAGAGTGAATGTTCAGCCACATCAATCATTCACAGCTCCTGATATAGAGCAGAAACATGACACAGAAATTCGCCATCTCCAAATGCCCTTTGGAGAAGGACTTCTCTGGGCAATGGATTAAATTGCCCAACAAAACGTATCCCTGATTAAAATCTATCAGGCTCTTGCCACAACCTATCAGTTCTCCTTGACAATCTACTGAGTGCTCAGAGAGGCACAATTGTTGGGTAAAGAGTCATGTAAACCCTGAAGCTCGGTCATTGCTCAGTCAAAAATAGGAGGAAATCCTCAATCGCTTCTCTGTAGCTTGGGAAGATGCCAAAATCTGAATGTTTACTGTATTCTAGAGTCTTGTCAATTGTTGTTGAGGTCACTTAGATGAAATTGCTAGCAAGTTTTGGACCTATCTTGAGCTCCTGGAGGAAAAGGTATAAATATAATACAGTATTTGCAGATGTCATTTCAGTCAAGGACATAGAGCAGATAAATGACCAATAAACCTTTTAATAATGTATGTTAATAGAATAACAGAGTTGGAAGGGACCTTAGAAGTCTTCTACTCTTACTCCCTGCCCAGGAAGGAAACCCTATACCATTTCAGATAAAATGTCGTCCAGTCTCTTTCTTAATGCCTCCAGTGATGCACCACCCATAATTTCTGAAGACAAGATGTTCCACTGGTTAATTGTTACCACTGTTAGGAAATTTCTCCTTAGTTCTAGGCTGCTTTTCTCCTTGGTTAATTTCCATCCATTGTTTGTTGTGTTGCCTTTTGGTGTTTTGGAAAATAGGTTGACCCCCTCATGTTTGTAGGAGTCCCTCAAATATTGGAACATTTCTATCATATCACCCCCTAGTTCTTATTTTCATTAAACTAGACATACCCAATTCCATCAATCATACAATATTGTAAGATGCCCAGAATCATGCACACAAGATGGGTGACAAAGAATAGAATAGAATAGAATAGAATAGAATAGAATAGAATAGAATAGAATAGAATAGAATAGAATAGAA